ATTTTTTTTAAGAACCCTAAAGCCCCAAAATTTCGAATTTGATGGTTATGAACCCTAATTTTCGATTTTAATTGTAATTAGATCACCAAAATTAATTTTGAAAAAGTTGTAAAATTAATTTAACTCAAAAACAAAAAAAAAAATTAAATAGCTTGAAGGGGAGCAGCCAAGGCTGGGTGGCAGAACCACCCGTCGGTGGTCCACCGTGGCTGCTCCAGTGGTCGTGAGGGGCGGAGGGCAGCAGGAGTCGGTGTTGGAAGGGGCAGAGCTCAACGTGCAACTATTGCACGGTTCCAGCTCTGCTCGGGCTGGTTGGCGTGCTGGGCTGCTACCTGGTGCGCCAGCTAGAGCTGCTATGGCTGGGCGGCTGACTGGCTACGGCGGCCAGCTGCTACAGTGGCTGGGCTCCGGCCTGGCTGCTGCTGCGGCTGTGACGTGGCTGGCAGCAAGCTCAGTCATGGCAGCCCTGTTTTTCAATTTTTTTAAAAAAAAAAATTAATAAAATAAATAAAAAAAAATTTCTAATTTATTTATTTTGGATAATATTGAAAAACTGATTTTAAGGGGATATTGAGCAATTCCAATTAAGGTTGTTTTGAATTGATTATAAGATAATTACATAATTTGATTTTTTAATCTAATTAAAATTAGTTGATTAGCTTATTTTAGGATAAAATCTTTTAAGTAGTTAGGATTCCAGTTTATCAAATATGATTTAAATTCTAGGTTTTCCTAATTAATTAATTCATCCACTTACCATAATTAAGAATATCTGATATTTTGATTATTGGTAAGTATAATATGTGATTATCCATAATTTGATTTTTTAATCAAATTAAAATTAGATGGTTAACTAATGATTAGGATGGAATTTTAAATTGGTTAAGATAATCCTGTAATATAAATGTGATTTATTTTCTTAGATTATGCATTTATTTGATTTCATCTCATTCCTAATTTAAATATATGATATTTTAATTATGGGAATGAATAATATGGAGATATTATCTAATCGTGTCCTAAAATATGTGATATTTTGAAAAATACGTTGTCTTAATTAAGAATATCTTATATTTTAGTTTAGGCAAGTATGCTATGTGATTTATTATGTGGCAATTTTATGTTATATATGATATATTATTATTGCTATAAGTGACTAGTATGGCCCAAAGTTTAAATTAGAAAATACGATCTGCGTATCGTTGTGTATTTTTGTAATTTAAATACGATCTGCGTATCGTTAAGTATTTTTGTAATTTATTTTAATTATGAATTATTTTAATTATTTAAATACTTAATTAATCCAAAGAAGAGTCCAAGATAAGAAGGCCCATGATGAAAATGGATGGAGATCCATGAAGAGTTCAAGCATGTGCCTAATCAAGCTTAGTTCTTAGGATTAGGGGCCATACTAGCTCATATTTAATTTTATTCATTTTATTATTATTCTTAAAATGTTTATAAAGTTATTGAATGTTGTTATCAAATGCGCTAGAGTTCACTAATTTATTACAACATAATAAACTTAAGTCCCACAATATTAAGGCTCGCTTTTCCAAATATAAAGTACTTATTAAACACTTGATTAATAGTAATGGGTCATGCCTCCGCAGGGCATTATTATTAATCTTGGGAGATAAGGTGAAATTGCGAATTTTGCACACTTAATTTGGTCATCCTCAACAAAATCATCAAAAGCGTTTTGGATTTTGAAGCAAGGGGATAGTTGAACATATGATGTTATCTATCCAAACAAGAATTACAAGAAGTTGTAATTAGTAAAGGAGTTTACTTACCTTGAATATGTAACCTTAAGGAAGGGCCTCCGTCCGCTTAATGCTACATAGGGATAGGATCTTGGAATCACGTTATTCATGAAGGGACACAAAATGAATATAGTGTAAAGTAGCTAAAATGATTTCAAAGGATGTTAGAATCATAAACTACTTCGATAAACATAGTTGAACTTTGTAATTATTTGCAAATATTATGTCTTTATTGATTAATTTTTGTGTTATGAATATCTCCTCGATTGAAAGAAATACTGAGAAACATTCTCAAAACTAAAAGAGTATCCGTAAACCATTATCCATGCTTTGGTAAAAGGGTTTTAAAGGCTAAAAGGAGTGTTAAAACCTATTTAATAATGTCACATGTCTAATGATAGCTACCAAGAACTCAAAAAGTTTGAATAATTGAATGGCTCCACCATTGACTCATTTTGAAAACGTTTCAAGTGATTGGACTCGATGGAGAGGTACAAGACCTCTAAAGACAACATGAGTGCGACTCACATGAAGAACTCAGTATTTTTCCTTGATCAATATGATTGAACATGGTGAATGACTTGGATTTTCATACTGTCAAATGTTGACTAATTTAAGTGACATCATTCATCACTTATTGCATGCGGTGTTAAATATAAGATTAAACTCCAAGATGAATTGTGTTGAATGGTTTTGGCAAAATTATGTAAGATGCTTAAAGTAGTTGAGCATAGTATCATTTTGAGCTTGAAAGAAATGTTCTAGATGGTTCAAATGAGAAAGGGTTAAGAACGATGGGGACTACAATAAAAGCCAAAGGATAAAGAAAAGACAAATAATTTGTCAATTCTTAATCACAAGGCTACTAAATTGTCAAGTGCTATTATGAATAGCAAATGTTTAAATTGAGGACTGGATCCAAGAGATTGAAAACTACCCCATAAAGTACAGTTGGAAGGTAAAGAATGAAAATGTTCCACATCAAGTAGTTATAGAAATTGATTTAGCAAAAATCTACTTATTTGATAGGTGATGTCAAGATTAACTCTCTTGTTGAAGAATGAGGTTGAGTTAAAGAGTTGAAACTTTGATAAGGGAAAAGTAAATCTACAATGTGAGAAACAAATGTTGTTTTACATGTATGACTTTACATTTCACTTAACTATATATAATTTAGCATCGACATAAATAATCGTTATTATATTCTTGCTATAATCAAAACATCATTCCATTGCAGTTACCACTGAATGTCAAAGATTCAAAGCATCGAACAAATGTTATTTTGTGCTTAGTTGAATCAAGGGATGTTTTGAAATGCTAAATAGGTTAAAGAGTTCTATATGTTTGATATAGATGAACCAATTCTATGTATGAATCACTTCTAGAAATGTCAATTTGTACAAATTACGAATAGAATTGTGTTTTGGGTGTTTTTGTCCCTTGGGAGAGTTACAACACGAAGAATGATCCGGTATGAGTTGTACGTGCAAAACAAACGGAGACACCGGTTAGGTGGTAGTCCGCCTCTGACGCACAAGTTAGAAACTTGAAGAGAGAGAATAAGTGCGGAAATTTAGGTGGGTATCTGCTCGGATTCCAAGCTCAGGTCTTTCTCTGATGTAAGAGAATACTGTTGTAATAAAAGGTAAAACGTGCCCTCAAAAAGAGGGACATCTCCCTATTTATAGGGTCTTTGGGATTTCTGCCCCTGATTAGGTCACTGAACCCTAATCATTGGTGGGTGGCGCCGTTTTGCGGCTTTCTCGGGAGTTGGACACGAAGGCCGCCTTTTTCCCTTAATTTCTGGAGTGACACGTGTCAAGCAAGGATTGGTCCACTTTGGGCCATCCTGAGGCTGACACGTTCATCCTCTTATTGGACCACATAGCGGGGTAAAATTACCCTAAACATTTGCTCCTCACAGATGTGACGTGGCACGCCACATGGCATCTGTGACACGTGTCACGCTCCGATTCGCGGTAATTTTACCATTAAAGAGTAACCGTTCACCTTCCGAGTAAATTACGAGAATGCCCCCATATTTACCCTATATATATAGCCGTTTTACCCTCATAATTTTGTACGTTTAGAAAAACTTTCTAGAGAGAATACTTTGAGAGAGCAGAAGTCATCCGTTTGAGTCAGGCGCAAGCAAGAAAGTTTGTTCTCCATCAACCCAGCCGGACCCGCTTATGTTCAGATATCACATCCAAAGGTACCGTCTCTGCCTCTCTCAACTCTTTTTCTTTTTTCACCGCTTGTACATATTTCTTGCAATAAATGGATGCATCACCAACACACACGGCACAGCCTAGGTTAGAGTCCAGCCGGTCACCAGGGACGGCTGAGTCTAGGACTGGGAGTGTCGTCTCGGGGTGTTGGGACCACCCTTTGCCTTGGATTCCGACCAGTTACGTGTCTGTGCAGGACACAATGGCTCGGATAATGCAGACGACAACTGATACAAATTACAGAAGCGAAGGCTCAGGCGGCCAAACGCCTAAGGGAGAAACGTCTGGTCAGGGAGATCAGACGGCTCTGGAGAGATCCCCTCTGCGCGCCCCCTCAACTCCCGCTGACTCCTTTTTGGAGGAATGTGACCAAGGCGGCGATGAGGCCGTCTCTGTCCCCTTGACCCAAAATGAGGAGGAGACGGAGAATGACAGCTCCGCCTCTACCTCTGAGAGCAGTGACAATGTACCCCCGCTTCAGGATAGTGAGGAGGAAGAAAGGAAAAAATGGAACGAGAAGGACGATCCCTTCAACATTCACGTCTCCTCCAAGGACCAGATCCAAATGGAGGAAAACTTGAAGAATTTTACTCAAATGAACCCGTTAGGAGACGGGTATAGGATCCGGGTGCCGCCTGAGAATGGCACCATCGCCTGGGAGGACGATCAAGAGAACGCCAAAAGCTATTTCGGCTGTTATGAGGCGGCGCTCAAGGTTGGTCTTCGCTTCCCCCTTCACCAGGCGGTGAAGGCAATTTTGAGAGGCTACGGCCTCGGAGTCTTGCAGCTTACCCCCAACTCTTGGTCAAACATTCTGTGGTATGTTGCCGCCTGCGAATTCCAGGGGCTTAACCCCGGCTGGGAGGCTTTTGCTAGTATGCATTATCTTAGCAGAAGCCCATGCGACTGGAGGGTGTGGTATACTCTAACCACGCATCCCCAATACATGATGACCTTGGACAAGGTCTCTAAATTCGACGGCTAAAAATACAGGTTCTACCTGATGTCAGCTCCAAGCAGACAGGAGAATTATGAATTCCGTCTGTACAATAAGAAGCCCGACTTGATGGGCCAGAAGTGTGCTCTTCCCTGGATCCCAGAGGAAGATTTTGACAAGATCATTGAGGAAGACCTTTTCGGCCTCACAGACGCAACCTTGTCAACCGGAGAAACAATAAAGGTCCCTAAGAACTGGATCCCCAAGAGCGCCTGGTTCAGGGACGAGTGTTTCCTAGCCGCCTGCGGGCTAGGACACATGTTTACCAAACGTATGCGCCTGAGTTTATATTTGTCTGTAGTGTTTTTGTATCACAATTGATTTATAATATTGTCCAATTTCTTTCTTTTTGCAGAAGAAGCATTAAAAATGTTGCAGACAGAGAAGACTCCCAAGCGGTCCTCTACAGTCATCCGCAAGGAGCTTGCGGAGAAAGCTGCGGCTGAGGTCAAAGCCAAGGTAATAAATGCCTGACCCTTTCGTAAATCAACCTTAAAAATTATTTTTCACGGATGCTAACTTTAAGTTGGTTATTTCCGCAGGGAGGAGAGGTTAGAAAAACGTTTGAGAAACAACTCAAACGGGCTAGGGAGGAGACCCCCTCCGTTCTCAACAAAATCAAAAAATCCACCTCCGCCTCAACTCCTGGCGCCTCAGCCAGGAATCAACAATTACAGATAGCGGGGCAGATCAAGAGGGTAGGCGGCAGCCTGGGTCTTGACCTCGTTAACCCCGTAACAGCGACCGGGGGGTTCACCACGCCTGCAAGCGGTTCCCGCTTGGCTGGCTCTGAAGGTAAGAACCCTTTTGAATCCCCGCTTGAGCTGGGGTGGCCTTTGCGGGTGAAATCCCACTCTCAACAGACGTCATCTTCAGACGATCGGCAACGAATAGGTGCTGCCTTAGTTTCGCACTCATCACGTATTGATTGTGGTGCAGATCAATCTCCCCGCTGGCCAGACGTCCAGAAGCATGCCAAGGCCATGCTTGACGCCGTCCGGAAGAGGGATAAGGAAAATATCCCTGGGATAGAGACGTTCAATCTGGAACGCATTCTATCCCTTCTGGCTAAGGTAAGAAGCTTGTGAATTTTTATTCTTTCCAAGCGTTTTATCCCGCCTGCAATACTCATACTGCTTGCTTTTTTGCAGGCTATGCTGCGAGTGGACGGACTCAAACGCCCTTATTCCCGCAAACGGGAAGAGGTAAAAAGGGCCAAGAAGTCCGCCATAGAAGCTGATAATATTGCTTTACACTCAACTATCGTAAATGAACTTGAAACTAAAGCAATCATAATGACATAGGCGTCTAGAATCCAGCAGCTGGAGGCGGATCTAGAGACGGCCAAACAGCGGGAGAGTGATGCTGAGACGGCCCAGAAGAAGGCAGAGGAGGCCCGGAAGAAGGCAGAGGAGGCCCGGAAAAAAGCTGATGAGGCGCACAAGAAGGCCCAGACGGACTTTGGCACACTTCAGGGTGTTTCTGAAGAGAACACCAACCTGAAGACCAAGGTTGAGAAGCTAGAGAAGGAGGCTGCTCAAGCTCAGAAGAACTTTGCAGTAACCCTGGAGGCGGAGCAGAACCGCCTTGTTGCTGAGAGTGACGCTGACAATGACGCCTGTTTGAAGATCGCCTGGGCTGCCTTGTACCCAAACGCGGATTACAGCGTCTGGGCACTGGCTCACAGCTATGCCGAGTACGTGGTGTACTTAAGGGATAGAGGCGAGCCAGAGCCTGACTCTTTTGAAGCCTGGGTCAACTCCAACAACGAGCCTTCCGCGCCTCAGCTACCTAGTCCGGGTGAAGCACAAGATATACCCTTAGATGACGAGGAGGAGGACCAGGAGGCACCGTCTGCAGGCAAGAAGTGACCTTTCAGCGGCAATATGCCAATCTCTGTTTTTTATCTTTTCTTTTATTTATTCAGCGGCAGTATGCCAAAACTTGTTTTTTCCGGCCTGCGTGCCGAGTATATTTGTATTGACAATTTCTCTTTCTCCCGGACGAGGTCCGATTAACATTTAATCTACTACAACCGTTTGGTTGGGTGGACTTTTATGAAATGCACCGACTGAGTCGGTTTTGATCATTTTGCGTCTGAATTTTAATTCTTGCAAATTTTAATTTTTCATTTTTTCCTAACTTATCAAAAGCATGCGGCGATTTTTTGCCTAACTAATCAATAGTCCGGCTGTCCTTGCCCCTGGACGGTTGTGTGATTGGTTTCAAGTGGAGTTAGTTGATTGACATGGAAACGACTGATGCTGCAAAGAGCATGATACGTTTTGCAAGTCAATCACAATAGTGATTGCCCCAAACCAAGTGCACATTCGTTCACCAACAGGCGTTCCAATTACTACCCAGACGGCGTTTTGTCCGTCTTGGTAGAGATTTCATAGCCATTGAACAACTCTTTTGCCCTAATTGGGATAGAGAGTGCAATTTTGGAATAAATAACCTAAGTGAGAACTTCAGCCGGAGATCGATTGATGGCCCAGGGCATCCGGTATTTGGTAACGATCGTTCATCACAAATCATTCTGGTCAGACGGCTATGAGTAGACCAATTCGGTCGTTCAATTTTTGTCGTCTGCATGGGTACGTAGAACCGACAAATAGTCTGTTCTTTGCGACGATTGCACCCGGAGGGGTGTCGCCGGACGCCTTTGTCCATGCTGGGGCAGGCGATTTTATTAAATGAGCAACCATCCGGCCATTTCAGCCTTTGGTCTTGTTTAGGACCGGTTGTATAGCCACTAATCGTTTTTGTACTTAGTTTTTAATCGGAGCATTGGCCGATTTACACCAAGTGTCGAACTTGGTTGTTTAAAAAAACGAGCCTGTCTAGGTATTACCCAGACGAACAGGCAATTATTAAATCATACTAAGTATCAAACTTAAATAAACAATGGATCCATCTGAGTATTACCTAGGCGGTCAAACAAATGTAACCTTTACTAAGTATCGAACTTAGTTAGGTAAATGAAGAATCCGTCTGGGTATTACCCAGATGGATAATAAAAAAAAAAACAAATCAATTTTGCAAACAAAGTCTGAATCTTCATTAATTGACTCACTATTTACAAAAAAATTTACATTCTCAGAAGTAGTACTTTTTCAGATTGTCTACATTCCAAGTTCTAGGCTGGCGCCTGCCATCTGGAGTGTCCAAGCGGTAGGTGCCGTCCCTTACTTCTTTATAGATCCAGTAGGGGCCTTCCCAATTTGGAGTTAGCTTCCCCAGCTCAATGGCCCTACCGGCTGCCTCCATTTTTCATAACACTAAGTCGTCAACTTTCAAGGGACGCTTGTGTACTTTTTTGTTGTAGGCTCTAGTCATTCTCAGACGGTAAATCTCATGACGCAAGGCGGCATTGCCCCTGCGTTCTGGGAGTGAATCCAATGTCAGGCGCATTGCTTCCCATTTGTCCTCTTCATCATATAGCATGACTCTGAGAGTCGGCTCGTAATGTTCAATGGGAAAGACGGCTTCAGCACCATAAACCATGAGAAATGGGGTTTCACCGGTTGCCCCCTTCGTTGTTGTCCGGATGGGCCATAGGACATGGATCAACTCTTCTGCCCATAAGCCACCGACTCTTTCTATTTTCTTCTTAATGCCGTCTGAGATGAGTTTATTGAAGGCTTCAACTTGGCCGTTTGCTTGGGGCCGGCCAACAGATGCAAAATAGCTTGAGAACCCCTGATCTCCCAACCAAGTTTTTAGCTGAGGCGTCTTAAACTGAGGACCATTATCAAACACCATAGACATAGGTACCCCATACCGGGTGATAATGTTTTTCCAGATGAAGGAAATCACGTCTGAGGTTTTGATGTTTTTAACCGCCTCAGCTTCCACCCACTTGGTGAAATAATCCACAGCCACTAAGATGTAGCGCTTTCCACCTGGAGCAGGCGTGTAAGGACCTAGAATGTCCATGCCCCATTTTGCAAAAAAGGATTGGGCTGTGGATGGCCGTCAGGTCAGTAGCCGGACGGTGAATGAGTTTGCCGAATTTTTGGCACTTGTCACATTTCTTTACCAGCTCCTTGGCGTCTGCCTCAAGAGTGGGCCAAAAATAATGTCGTCTGGCTCTAACGGCTAGGGACTTGCCGCCTATATGGGAGGCGCAGAATCCCGAATGCAAGTCTTCAAGAACTTATTTCCCCTTTTCAAGAACTTCAACAAAGGCTTCGGAAACCCCTCCTTGAAGAGTTTTCCATTTTTCAGCTCGAAGCTTGCATCTCGCTTTTTCAGGACGGCTGCCTCCTGTGGCGAATCAGGAAGTGTGCCGTCTGAAAGATAGGCCTGGATACCATCGATCCAGGTAGAGCTTCGGTCCAGAATTCCAATGGGATCTTCATAGATGCTTCTCTTTTTAAGAACCTCCCAGAAGACTGACCGAGGCGTATCATGGCAGGCGGAAGACGCCAGTTTTGACAATGCATTCGCCTAGTTGTTTTCTGACCTAGGCACTTGATTCAGCCGGAATTGCTCAAGTGCCCTGGCCTCTTCTTTGACTGCCTGAAGATATTTGATCATAGCCGGATGAGTAGCCTCATAGCTTCCCTCATACTGGCTAACAACCAATTGGGAATCAAAGTAGGCGTCAATTTTTATGGCCCCTGCCGCCTTACACATGCGAATGCCGGCTAGTAGGGCTTCATATTCCGCCTCATTGTTAGAGGCCTGAAACTTGAAGCGTAGTGCATACTCAAATCTGTCCCCTTCAGGAGACTCGTAAATTACGCCTGCACCACAGCCGTTCTTTATAGAGCTCCCGTCTACATACACTTTCCAAACCTGTTCAAGATTATCCGGAGCCACCGAACGGGTCATTTCAACAATGAAGTCGGCAAACGCCTGACCTTTCATTGCCTTTCTTGATTCGTAAGTGATTTCAAGGCTTTGCATTTCAATAGCCCATTTCAACATTCTCCCGGATGAGTCCAAGGTAGACATTGGCCGCTTGAGTGGCTGGTCGGTGTAAATTACCACCGGATGTGCCAAAAAGTAAGGCTTTAGTTTTTTGAAAGCCATATACAAAGCAAGGCCAAATTTTTCAACCATGGGGTACCGGAGTTCAGCATTTTTAAGAACATGGCTAATGAAGTAAACCGGGAGCTGCACGCCGTCTCGCTCAGCAAGGAGAACGGCACTGAGGGCATGATTTGAGACGGCTAAATACATGTACAACGTCTCCCTAGGCAAGGGACTGACCAACCTAGGTAGAGAGTGTAGATGCTCTTTCAACCTCTGGAATGCCGCCTCAGCATCATCCCCCCATTCAAATCTGGACTTCTTCCTGATTGCTTGGAAGAAGTAGAGGCAATTGTCGCCTGACCGGCTGAGGAACCTCCCTAAGGCGGCCAGACAACCGGTGAGTCTCTGCACTTCCTTGACAGAACGGGGTGACTTCATGTATATCACCGCCTGTATCTTTTCAGGGTTAGCCTCTATCCCCCTTTGATCAATCAGGAATCTGAGAAACTTCCCAGACTCAACACCAAAGACGCATTTCTTTGGATTTAACATGACCTTATGCCGCCTGAGGGTGGTGAATGTTTCTCGGAGATCAGCAAGGTGATCCGTCTGTAGCTTGATTTGACTATCATGTCATCGATGTACGCCTCCACATTCCTCCCAATTTGATTAATGAAGACCGTATTAATCATCCGTTGGAAAGTGGTAGGCGCATTTTTCAAGCCAAACGGCATCACAGTGTAACAGAATAACCCCTGATCAGTGACGAAGGTCGTCTTCTCCTGATCCTTTTTCCACAGGGGTATCTGATGGAAGCCGGAGTAGGCATTCATAAAGCTCATCAAGGCGTGACCGGCTGTAGAATCGACCAGACTTTCGATCTTTGGAAGCGGGTATTTGTCCTTTGGACACGCCTTGTTGAGGTCTGTGTAATCAACACACATGCGCCAGATCCCATTTGGTTTCTTAACAAGAACCACATTGGTCACCCAGTTGGGGAAGTTACAAGGCCGAATGAACCTGGCGCCTAGCAGCTTTTTTACTTCGGCAGCTGTCGCCTGACTTCTTTCCTCACCGTGGTTTCTTTTCTTTTTCCGGATGGGCTTCTTTTTAGGGTCCACGGCGAGCTTGTGGACAGCAAGATCCGGGTTGACGCCTGGCATCTCTTCCACTTCAAAGGCAAAAATGTCTTTGAATTCTTTCAGCAGAAGGTGCAAGTTTGCACCCAACTCTGCAAAAGCAACCGTCCCAACCTTCACAGTATGCTCCGGACGGTTGTCGTCCAGAGGTATATCAATATGTTCACCAGCCGGTTGGGGACGGAGCTCATCTGACCGTTCACCGATCAGTGATTGCTATTTTTTCTCTTTCTTTACCTCCACCAGCAGAGGTGCCTTTCTTTTCTTCCCGACTGCTGGTGGGGCAGGCGCTAGGTTGGCATCCTTGACATTGTCAAGGTCTATTGGTTCCTGGCCGCCTGGGGCCACAGTATCTCTGACGGCTGAGAGATAGCACTCTCGAGCCGTCTTTTGATCCCCATTTAGGCAACCAACAGTGCCGTCATCCCTCTCATACTTGATGAGCATGAGAGACGGGATGATTACTGCCTTGGCTACGTTGAGGGTCGGCCGGCCAAGGATAATGTTGTAGGCGGTTAACTCCTCAACGACCAAGAATCTGACGACAATATGTCGTCCCTAGCCTTTCTCTCCCAGCCGGATGAGTAAGTCAATTCTTCCGGCTAGGTAGACCATCCCACCCCTAAAACCAACCAAGGGGTGGGTGACCGGATGCATGCTGCTGACATTGTATTTCAGCTTTTGCAGGCACCGGAGGCTGATGATGTCTGATGAGCTGCCGCTGTCAATAAGGATCCGTCCAACCAGCT